TATGGAGTCAGCCTCCACTACATCACTGCCTAATGCATTCCATTTTCTAACTACTCTGACACTGAAAAAGTTCTTTCTAACGTCTCTGTGGCTCATTTGGGTACTCAGCTTCCACCTGTGTCCCCTTGTTCGCGTCCCACCAGTGTTGAAAAGTTCATCCTTGTTTACCCGGTCGATTCCCCTGAGGATTTTGTAGGTTGTGATCATGTCCCCCCTTACTCTTCTGTCTTCCAGTGTCGTGAGGTGCATTTCCCGTAGCCTTTCCTCATAACTCATGCCTCTTAGTTCTGGGACTAGTCTAGTAGCATACCTTTGGACTTTTTCCAGCTTCGTCTTGTGCTTGACAAGGTACGGGCTCCATGCTGGGGCCGCATACTCCAGGATTGGTCTTACATATGTGGTGTACAAGATTCTGAATGGTGTACACCTCTCAGTGTATGTACACCTACAAGCTGTGTACACCTCTCAGTGTATGTACACCTACAACCTGTGTACACCTCTCAGTGTATGTACACCTACAACTTGTGTACACCTCTCAGTGTATGTACACCTACAACCTGTGTACACCTCTCAGTGTATGTACACCTACAACTTGTGTACACCTCTCAGTGTATGTACACCTACAACCTGTGTACACCTCTCAGTGTATGTACACCTACAACCTGTGTACACCTCTCAGTGTATGTACACCTACAACCTGTGTACACCTCTCAGTGTATGTACACCTACAACTTGTGTACACCTCTCAGTGTATGTACACCTACAACCTGTGTACACCTCTCAGTGTATGTACACCTACAACTTGTGTACACCTCTCAGTGTATGTACACCTACAACCTGTGTACACCTCTCAGTGTATGTACACCTACAACTTGTGTACACCTCTCAGTGTATGTACACCTACAACCTGTGTACACCTCTCAGTGTATGTACACCTACAACTTGTGTACACCTCTCAGTGTATGTACACCTACAACCTGTGTACACCTCTCAGTGTATGTACACCTACAACTTGTGTACACCTCTCAGTGTATGTACACCTACAACCTGTGTACACCTCTCAGTGTATGTACACTTACAACTTGTGTACACCTCTCAGTGTATGTACACCTACAACCTGTGTACACCTCTCAGTGTATGTACACCTACAACTTGTGTACACCTCTCAGTGTATGTACACCTACAACCTGTGTACACCTCTCAGTGTATGTACACCTACAACTTGTGTACACCTCTCAGTGTATGTACACCTACAACCTGTGTACACCTCTCAGTGTATGTACACCTACAACTTGTGTACACCTCTCAGTGTATGTACACCTACAACCTGTGTACACCTCTCAGTGTATGTACACCTACAACTTGTGTACACCTCTCAGTGTATGTACACCTACAACCTGTGTACACCTCTCAGTGTATGTACACCTACAACCTGTGTACACCTCTCAGTGTATGTACACCTACAACCTGTGTACACCTCTCAGTGTATGTACACCTACAACTTGTGTACACCTCTCAGTGTATGTACACCTACAACCTGTGTACACCTCTCAGTGTATGTACACCTACAACCTGTGTACACCTCTCAGTGTATGTACACCTACAACTTGTGTACACCTCTCAGTGTATGTACACCTACAACCTGTGTACACCTCTCAGTGTATGTACACCTACAACTTGTGTACACCTCTCAGTGTATGTACACCTACAACCTGTGTACACCTCTCAGTGTATGTACACCTACAACTTGTGTACACCTCTCAGTGTATGTACACCTACAACCTGTGTACACCTCTCAGTGTATGTACACCTACAACCTGTGTACACCTCTCAGTGTATGTACACCTACAACCTGTGTACACCTCTCAGTGTATGTACACCTACAACCTGTGTACACCTCTCAGTGTATGTACACCTACAACTTGTGTACACCTCTCAGTGTATGTACACCTACAACCTGTGTACACCTCTCAGTGTATGTACACCTACAACCTGTGTACACCTCTCAGTGTATGTACACCTACAACCTGTGTACACCTCTCAGTGTATGTACACCTACAACTTGTGTACACCTCTCAGTGTATGTACACGTACAAGCTGTGTACACCTCTCAGTGTATGTACACCTTGAAGCTGTGTTATAGTTGCCATGGTGTGTCCCTGCTCAGGGCTCCTGCTTTTATTATTATTAATGTTATTAATATTGTTATTATTGTTATTATTTGTATTATTATTATTATTATTTCTAGCTGCACCCGGCCACGCATTGCTGTGGCTCAGTCCCCCCCCCCCCATCCCCCCACTCCCCCGTCCCCTCATATTCTCTCTACCATGTCCCCCTCCCCCCATCCCTTCCTCCTCCTCCCTACCATTCCCACTCCTTTGTCCCCCTTGCCCCCCCCCCCACCCTCGGCCCCACCATCCCCAACTCCCCCGTCCCCTCGTCCTCCCCACCATCTCTCACTTCCATCCCCTCGTCCTCACCACCATTCCCCACTCCCTCGTCCGATGCCTTCCCAAATGGTCTGATGTTCCCATCACTGAAATATAAGAAAAACAGTTAAAAAATGAAATGATGATATGAAAAAATAAACAAATAAACTATGCTCACAAAATGTACGGTCTGGTAAACAACACAATACCTAAACAATAGCTCAATTTCAACGCAATTCACACAAAATAATTAAATCAAAATGAAAATAAATCAAAATCTATGAAAATTAAAATTATCAATGAAATCAGAAACATTGAAATGGAACTGTAACATATTTAGTATAGCATGTGTGTTGCTCTTACATGCAACAGATGGCGCTGTTTTTCAAGAAAAGCATAGTTTTTACCTGTCACAGGTGTGGCATCTATATAGTACGTATACAAAAAAATGCAACTATTCGAATGCAACGCTGTGTCAAAATTTCAAAGCAATCGGTGAAGAACTTTTGGAGATTACAGCGTGTGTTGCTCTTACGTCCAACAGATGGCGCTGTTTAAAAAAAAAAACATGTTTTTTCCTGTCACAGGTGAGGCATGTATATAGTAGATATATAAAAAGACGAGCCTATTCGAATGCAAACGTTGTGTAAAAATGTCAAAGCAATCGGTAAAGAGGTTTCGAAGATTTCCCTCACATAAAAAAACATGAAAATCAAAGTTTTTCAGAAAAAGGAAGTTTTTTTTCCCGTCACAGACGTGACATATATAGTAGGTATATAAAAACCTGCTCGGATGTGAATGGAACGTTGTGTGAAAATGTCAAAGCAATCGGTGAAGAACTTTCGGATATTAGCGGTTATGCCCAAACGAACATTTCCATATTTATTTATATATATTATTATCGTGGACAATTTTCCACCAACATTATGGCGTAACATGTCTTAGTAATGGTCTAATAAAGCACTTGGACCAGGCATAGCTTTTTATAGAACAAACTAAGCTCTCTGAGATACCTGGTTGATGGGGTTCTGGGAGTTCTTCTACTGCCCAAGCCCGGCCCGAGGCCAGGCTTGACTTGTGAGAGTTTGGTCCACCAGGCTGTTGCTTGGAGCGGCCCGCAGGCCCACATATACCTGGTTGATGGGGTTCTGGGAGTTCTTCTACTGCCCAAGCCCGGCCCGAGGCCAGGCTTGACTTGTGAGAGTTTGGTCCACCAGGCTGTTGCTTGGAGCGGCCCGCAGGCCCACATATACCTGGTTGATGGGGTTCTGGGAGTTCTTCTACTGCCCAAGCCCGGCCCGAGGCCAGGCTTGACTTGTGAGAGTTTGGTCCACCAGGCTGTTGCTTGGAGCGGCCCGCAGGCCCACATATACCTGGTTGATGGGGTTCTGGGAGTTCTTCTACTGCCCAAGCCCGGCCCGAGGCCAGGCTTGACTTGTGAGAGTTTGGTCCACCAGGCTGTTGCTTGGAGCGGCCCGCAGGCCCACATATACCTGGTTGATGGGGTTCTGGGAGTTGTTCTACTCCCCAAGCCCGGCCCGAGGCCAGGCTTGACTTGTGAGAGTTTGGTCCACTAGGCTGTTGCTTGGAGCGGCCCGCAGGCCCACATATACCTGGTTGATGGGGTTCTGGGAGTTCTTCTACTCCCCAAGCCCGGCCCGAGGCCAGGCTTGACTTGTGAGAGCTTGGTCCACCAGGCTGTTGCTTGGAGCGGCCCGCAGGCCCACATATACCTGGTTGATGGGGTTCTGGGAGTTCTTCTACTCCCCAAGCCCGGCCCGAGGCCAGGCTTGACTTGTGAGAGTTTGGTCCACCAGGCTGTTGCTTGGAGCGGCCCGCAGGCCCACATATACCTGGTTGATGGGGTTCTGGGAGTTGTTCTACTCCCCAAGCCCGGCCCGAGGCCAGGCTTGACTTGTGATAGTTTGGTCCACCAGGCTGTTGCTTAGAGCGGCCCGCAGGCCCACATATACCTGGTTGATGGGGTTCTGGGAGTTCTTCTACTCCCCAAGCCCGGCCCGAGGCCAGGCTTGACTTGTGAGAGCTTGGTCCACCAGGCTGTTGCTTGGAGCGGCCCGCAGGCCCACATATACCTGGTTGATGGGGTTCTGGGAGTTCTTCTACTGCCCAAGCCCGGCCCGCAGGCCAGGCTTGACTTGTGAGAGTTTGGTCCACCAGGCTGTTGCTTGGAGCGGCCTGCAGGCCCACATATACCTGGTTGATGGGGTTCTGGGAGTTCTTCTACTCCCCAAGCCCGGCCCGAGGCCAGGCTTGACTTGTGAGAGTTTGGTCCACCAGGCTGTTGCTTGGAGCGGCCCGCAGGCCCACATACCCACCACAGCCCGGTTGGTCCGGTACTCCTTGGAGGAATATAGTGAATTGGAGATAGTGTCAAATCTGCATATTACGACCATTTCGTGATCACCATTCCAGAAGGCCTACTTAATGTTTTTTATCCATATCAGGACATGTATTTACATTTAACAACTATAAGCATATCATGGTAATATGCCAAAATAAATGTATATAGTCAATAAATAATTCTTTAGCCATATACATTTGGTTAAGGTTTGTATAAATGGATCATTAAAAGAGGCAGGGCAAAGATACCCGCCTTGGGGTGGATCGCAGTGTTCAGATGCTGGTCCTAGATCAGATGCTGGTACTAGTTCAGATGTTGGTACTAGATCAGATGCTGGTACTAGTTCAGATGCTGGTACTAGTTCAGATGCTGGTACTAGATCAGATGCTGGTACTAGATCAGATGTTGGTACTAGTCCAGATGCTGGTACTAGTCCAGATGCTGGTACTAGATCAGATGCTGGTACTAGTCCAGATGCTGGTACTAGTCCAGATGCTGGTACTAGTTCAGATGCTGGTACTAGTCCAGATGCTGGTACTAGTCCAGATGCTGGTACTAGATCAGATGCTGGTACTAGTTCAGATGCTGGTACTAGTCCAGATGCTGGTACTAGTCCAGATGCTGGTACTAGATCAGATGCTGGTACTAGATCAGATGCTGGTACTAGTTCAGATGCTGGTACTAGTTCAGATGCTGGTACTAGATCAGATGCTGGTACTAGATCAGATGTTGGTGTGGGAACCGACCTGTGAGATTTATATTTATTTAATTTATATGAATTTATATTTACGTTAATTTATATACTTCGATAGCAATTTGTATAATGATAAGTGGACTGTATTTCTGCAATAATCTCATAATCTCACAAATCGATCCTCTACACATTAGGGGGGTTTATATTTATATGTATGCAGCCAATCAAACTACAGTAACTACATACATTGAAGAGGTTCCTTATCTTATAGTACAGCAGGTTAGTCCACCAGGTATAACTAGGGTGTAGACACCAAATTATCCTCTTTGAGGTAGCTTCCATATCACCCAGTAACTGGTGCACAAATCTTGCATCCTCGTCTTGACCTGTCAAAAGTGCGCTAGCTGTGAAGCCAGATACCTATATATGACAAGTATATCAGAGAAAACAGTACACGGAACATGAAGACCTGGCTTAATTACCTTTAGTATGAGGCGATTTCGCGTTCTAACCGGGTCACCCTATATAATGACATTAATGGCCACTAATGATAGATAATGGGTTTCGGAAAGAACACTTAACTTGATTTGTTGACAGCGTGTTGACAGATGGTACACCTTTGGTATCCATAACACTACGTCCAAGTAAAATTAACAGGAGCCGAATTTGCTCCCGTGTGAGCCTCTGGTCTCTATATAAACAATGGCTGCCCCCTTCCTCCCTGACGCCTGGCCTACTTTGTCCACATGTCAGAAAGTGATAGAAGGGTCACATTTACTCTACTTTAATATTGATAATTAAGTTAATTTATATAAGATGTTTTTATGATGGTAAAGTCCAAAGACTAATGTATTTAAGAATAATTCCCACCATAATAGGTGGTGAATTATAATAGTATGTGGTGATGATATCCCGTTTTCTTTAGATGGTAATTCCACTACAAGTTACGTTTTCTATGGGTAACTTGTTGGTAATACAGCTATTATCTGTATGATATATTAAATGGTGTCGGATTTTCCGACATAATTCCCCAGGGGGCTGCTCACGGGTTGAAGTCCTATTTAGAACAGACGAACACCGATACTCCTCCTTCGAATTATTTCATTAATTTGATGTCAGTAGTTAGTAATCACACATTTGTGTGTCTGTTCGTACAGGACGGATGTCCCGTACTAGAGTTGCAGGGGTTAGAAGTCTAATGCGATTTCATTTCCCTGTCAACTCTTGAAAGGCTAATATTCAAGCCTTATTACATATTATTTAACCCAGAAGACTGAATGTGATCAAGTAATACAGTCAAGTATGATTCAGGGACTGCAGTGAGATCAGTGACATTAGATATAACTTGAAGTTTGTTCAGGTAACTAGTCACTGATATATAAACACTGAGGCCCATGGAATACATCTTGATTAAATAATAAATGTATCAAATCAGTCATCATATTTATTGGGGTTTAATTTAGTTAATTGATTCAGAAGATTGAATAGCTCATCATTAAAGCAAAGTATGGTTCTGAGACTGCAGTGGGTTCAGTGACATTGGTCGCAGTGACTTGTAGCTGTTTTAGGCTACTGTTCACTGATTTGCCACTGAGGCCTCATGAACTCATCTCCAGCTTCAAATGATGATACTAACATCAACCTCTGTTACTATAGTCAGCTGTAATCTCCTTAGTATAATGCTACTGGAGAAATATAATCAGCTGACAAATTTAGATTTCTACTGGTATTGTTTATCTGCAGGCATAGGTCTCCTCAGGCTTGATACTGGGCCTGAGAGTAATTTACCTCCTGCAGAGTTTAACATGGTTATACCCTGATATTTAGTAGGGCTACCAATGAATTGATGGTAGTAGTCTGTCCCCACAAGGAGACCGAAGTCGGTGAGGTGATCAGACTTAATATTATCTGCCAATTTTATTCCTCTATTTCTCAGGAATTTGGCTGTTGCTCTCAGACCTTGAACTTGTAGGTCTACTGGTATCTTGTCCACCACAATGGCTTGTACTCGACAGACGTACCTGCCTAAACGTACTGATGGTTGTACCACCTGGTAGACTTGAGGTCCTGCATCTGTTACAAACCCTGAGATGTTGAATGACGTCTGGGCTACAGGCCTTAATTGTAATTCATCTGCCAGCTTTTTAGTGATATATGTTCTCTGGGATCCTTGGTCAAACAACCCACGGGTATGGACCTTGGCCCTCTTATTCAGGATGGTAATTTGGGCAGTAGGCAAAGTCGTATTACCTTTAGACTTTGCCGATTGGACACTCTTTGTTTGTTGCACCTTGCAGTACTGTACTGTGGTGGGAATGCTATCTTCCACCTTGGGGTTTGGAGACGTTGTTTTGGTGTCTCTGCACAATGTTGCATGGTGCTGACCTTTGTTACACCTATTACAGGTGTGTAATTGGGTATCACAGTCGTTGATGTTATGTTTCCTGAGGCACCTCGTGCAATGTTGCAAATCTTTGAGTCGCTCAACACGGGCGTCACTATCAGGAAAATTAGAGCAGTGGTACATTGAATGTTTCTCATTGCAGAACAAACATGTTCCATAGCTTCCTGTACCCTTTGGTGTCATGTTCTTGGGTGACACAGTAACTATAGGCTTGGAGGGTCCCACTGCATATACGCCCACACTGCTACTGTTCCACTTTGGTGTTGAATTATATTGTCTAGATTGATTTGGAGTACCTTTGGTACTCTGTGGTTTACTATTATTGGTTTCTGAGGGTTTACTTGGTGGTTTTAATTTGTCATGTGTTCGTAATTGATGAACTACTGACTTTAAACCTTCAGATATTTCATTCATGGATAAGATGCTTTTATTGTAATGAGCACTCATTTGTCTCAATATGTCCCTAGGTATTTTCTCCTGGACAATTATTTTCAAGACCCACTCAGCCCCGTTTGTATCTGCTGTCAGGCTGAGGGCATTGATCAATGATTCTACCTCCAGCTTGAAGACTTGGAGTGAATCAGCTGAAGCCTCCGGTGGGGGTAAATGCAACAGCTCATGAACTAAATGTGATGTTCTTACTTCTGGATCAGCATAATTATCCTTGAGGAGTTTTACTGCCAGATCATAGCCGTCATTAGTTAATCTCAGATGGGATACTACTGTTTTAGCCTCACCTGATAATTGGCCTTGCAAATAAGAGAATTTACTACTCTTTGGTAAAGATTGTTTTGAGTCTACAAGGTCAACGAATTTGTTCCAAAATTCGTCCCAATCTTCCTCATCTTTTCCTGAGAAAGTGGGTAAATTAATTGGAGGGAGTCGAGCTTCTGCTTGACTCGTATTAGATGCAACTGTTGCTGTTGTTGCTGTTGTTGTTGCCTTGTTCTGGGCAATTAATTTGACATAAGGCTGTAACGTGGCCTGAGTGTGATCTTCATAATTCGCAAGATCAACCATAATGTCGTCTATTTCTGTTTCTGATAAATTGGTGTTGGCAAGTTCAGCCACATATGTTGCTATTTGACATTTGATTTGCTCAAATTTACCTGCAGCTGCTTGATAATAGCTTTCCAGGTCAGCATAATCAACTTGAGATTGTTGTGACAAATCTTCACATTTCTTGATCTGTCTTGTTAAGTGGCCTTTAAGACCTGCAAGGGTTCTTTTCATTCTCCCTGCATTATCCATACTGGCTAGTTGGTAAAGCCTTGTGGGACTTGTACTTGGGCTGCTCATAATACTGAACAAACACTAATGGTAGCCTAGGGTAAATTCTGCACTCACTAGGCAATAATCCTACCTCTACTAGAGGTTAGCACTTAAAATTAATACACATTATATATATACAATCATACACACTAATGATTTGAGTGATAAACCAGTGTCACTGGAAGTACCTTTAGGTTAGCTCTTCTATATCACCCTAGGATGGTAGAGACACTAATTAATCACTCAAAGGTGTAATGATCATAAGTAATTTATTATATATACAACTCAATTCGAGTTGATAAAATTACACCCAAAATAGGGTCTGGACCATTCATTAATGGTGTTAGGTTATTGAATATAGTACAACTGACTATGGTAATAATGGGACTAGGATGAGCAATAATAGTTCAACTAGTCATATCCTACCCTGTTGTGGGTTGGCAATTAGTAAATATTATACTGTGATCACTAGTGCAGTATATATTAAATGATTCTCTATTTTGGAGAAATAATATACACAATTATTGATAATAGCCTCTTAATTAGCCTCTATGAAACTTCTAATATTATCAAGAAGTATTAAATATTATTAGTGACCTCGCGAAATAAACTCCACAAAATTCGTAGATAATCTCTCGCGAAATGTAACACCACGAAATCCGTGAACAATCTCGCGACATAGTCACTAATTTGGCTGGATTCTATATTAGCGCTGTCATTTCACGAAATAACACGCCACCAAATATCTGTGGGTGTGCATGAAACCGCTGACGAAGCTGAACTGGGCTGAGGGAGGCTCCTGAGCTCCCTCGAGGCTACGCTGCCGTCTTGACTGGCTTTTGTTTAAATAACACTGCACTAGTATATTTAATGAATCCACTGGTTAACTGGTTCATCCGGTACTAAGATGACCAAATGTGGGTTCACAAGGATCAAATAATCCGTCATCCGGTTCGAAGATGACCAAATAATGTGGGTACCGACCTGTGAGATTTATATTTATTTAATTTATATGAATTTATATTTACGTTAATTTATATACTTCGATAGCAATTTGTATAATGATAAGTGGACTGTATTTCTGCAATAATCTCATAATCTCACAAATCGATCCTCTACACATTAGGGGGGTTTATATTTATATGTATGCAGCCAATCAAACTACAGTAACTACATACATTGAAGAGGTTCCTTATCTTATAGTACAGCAGGTTAGTCCACCAGGTATAACTAGGGTGTAGACACCAAATTATCCTCTTTGAGGTAGCTTCCATATCACCCAGTAACTGGTGCACAAATCTTGCATCCTCGTCTTGACCTGTCAAAAGTGCGCTAGCTGTGAAGCCAGATACCTATATATGACAAGTATATCAGAGAAAACAGTACATGGAACATGAAGACCTGGCTTAATTACCTTTAGTATGAGGCGATTTCGCGTTCTAACCGGGTCACCCTATATAATGACATTAATGGCCACTAATGATAGATAATGGGTTTCGGAAAGAACACTTAACTTGATTTGTTGACAGCGTGTTGACAGATGGTACACCTTTGGTATCCATAACACTACGTCCAAGTAAAATTAACAGGAGCCGAATTTGCTCCCGTGTGAGCCTCTGGTCTCTATATAAACAATGGCTGCCCCCTTCCTCCCTGACGCCTGGCCTACTTTGTCCACATGTCAGAAAGTGATAGAAGGGTCACATTTACTCTACTTTAATATTGATAATTAAGTTAATTTATATAAGATGTTTTTATGATGGTAAAGTCCAAAGACTAATGTATTTAAGAATAATTCCCACCATAATAGGTGGTGAATTATAATAGTATGTGGTGATGATATCCCGTTTTCTTTAGATGGTAATTCCACTACAAGTTACGTTTTCTATGGGTAACTTGTTGGTAATACAGCTATTATCTGTATGATATATTAAATGGTGTCGGATTTTCCGACAGTTGGTACTAGTTCAGATGCTGGTACTAGATCAGATGCTGGTACTAGTTCAGATGTTGGTACTAGATCAGATGCTGGTACTAGTTCAGATGTTGGTACTAGATCAGATGCTGGTACTAGTTCAGATGCTGGTACTAGTTCAGATGCTGGTACTAGATCAGATGCTGGTACTAGATCAGATGCTGGTACTAGTTCAGATGCTGGTACTAGTTCAGATGCTGGTACTAGATCAGATGCTGGTACTAGATCAGATGCTGGTACTAGATCAGATGCTGGTACTAGATCAGATGCTGGTACTAGTTCAGATGCTGGTACTAGTTCAGATGCTGGTACTAGATCAGATGCTGGTACTAGATCAGATGCTGGTACTAGTTCAGATGCTGGTACTAGTTCAGATGCTGGTACTAGATCAGATGCTGGTACTAGTTCAGATGCTGGTACTAGTTCAGATGCTGGTACTAGATCAGATGCTGGTACTAGATCAGATGCTGGTACTAGTTCAGATGCTGGTACTAGTTCAGATGCTGGTACTAGTTCAGATGCTGGTACTAGATCAGATGCTGGTACTAGTTCAGATGCTGGTACTAGATCAGATGCTGGTACTAGTTCAGATGCTGGTACTAGTTCAGATGCTGGTACTAGTTCAGATGCTGGTACTAGTTCAGATGCTGGTACTAGTTCAGATGCTGGTACTAGATCAGATGCTGGTACTAGTTCAGATGCTGGTACTAGTTCAGATGCTGGTACTAGATCAGATGCTGGTACTAGATCAGATGTTGGTACTAGATCAGATGCTGGTACTAGATCAGATGTTGGTACTAGTTCAGATGCTGGTACTAGTCCAGATGCTGGTACTAGTTCAGATGTTGGTACTAGATCAGATGTTGGTACTAGATCAGATGTTGGTACTAGTTCAGATGCTGGTACTAGTTCAGATGCTGGTACTAGATCAGATGCTGGTACTAGATCAGATGTTGGTACTAGATCAGATGTTGGTACTAGTTCAGATGCTGGTACTAGTCCAGATGCTGGTACTAGATCAGATGCTGGTACTAGTTCAGATGCTGGTACTAGTCCAGATGCTGGTACTAGTTCAGATGCTGGTCCTAGTCCAGATGCTGGTACTAGATCAGATGCTGGTACTAGATCAGATGTTGGTACTAGTTCAGATGCTGGTACTAGATCAGATGCTGGTACTAGATCAGATGCTGGTACTAGTTCAGATGCTGGTACTAGTCCAGATGCTGGTACTAGTCCAGATGCTGGTACTAGTTCAGATGCTGGTACTAGTCCAGATGCTGGTACTAGTTCAGATGCTGGTACTAGTCCAGATGCTGGTACTAGTTCAGATGCTGGTACTAGTTCAGATGCTGGTACTAGTTCAGATGCTGGTACTAGATCAGATGCTGGTACTAGTTCAGATGCTGGTACTAGTTCAGATGCTGGTACTAGTTCAGATGTTGGTACTAGTTCAGATGCTGGTACTAGTTCAGATGCTGGTACTAGTTCAGATGCTGGTACTAGTTCAGATGCTGGTACTAGTTCAGATGCTGGTACTAGTTCAGATGTTGGTACTAGATCAGATGCTGGTACTAGATCAGATGCTGGTACTAGATCAGATGCTGGTACTAGATCAGATGCTGGTACTAGTTCAGATGCTGGTACTAGTCCAGATGCTGGTACTAGTTCAGATGCTGGTACTAGTCCAGATGCTGGTACTAGTCCAGATGCTGGTACTAGATCAGATGCTGGTACTAGTCCAGATGCTGGTACTAGTCCAGATGCTGGTACTAGATCAGATGCTGGTACTAGATCAGATGCTGGTACTAGATCAGATGCTGGTACTAGATCAGATGCTGGTACTAGATCAGATGCTGGTACTAGATCAGATGCTGGTACTAGTCCAGATGCTGGTACTAGATCAGATGCTGGTACTAGATCAGATGCTGGTACTAGTTCAGATGCTGGTACTAGATCAGATGCTGGTACTAGTCCAGATGCTGGTACTAGATCAGATGCTGGTACTAGATCAGATGCTGGTACTAGATCAGATGCTGGTACTAGATCAGATGCTGGTACTAGATCAGATGCTGGTACTAGTCCAGATGTTGGTACTAGATCAGATGCTGGTACTAGATCAGATGCTGGTACTAGTTCAGATGCTGGTACTAGATCAGATGCTGGTACTAGATCAGATGCTGGTACTAGATCAGATGCTGGTACTAGATCAGATGCTGGTACTAGATCAGATGCTGGTACTAGATCAGATGCTGGTACTAGTCCAGATGCTGGTACTAGATCAGATGCTGGTACTAGATCAGATGCTGGTACTAGTTCAGATGCTGGTACTAGATCAGATGCTGGTACTAGATCAGATGCTGGTACTAGATCAGATGCTGGTACTAGTTCAGATGCTGGTACTAGATCAGATGCTGGTACTAGATCAGATGCTGGTACTAGATCAGATGCTGGTACTAGATCAGATGCTGGTACTAGATCAGATGCTGGTACTAGATCAGATGCTGGTACTAGATCAGATGCTGGTACTAGTTCAGATGCTGGTACTAGATCAGATGCTGGTACTAGATCAGATGCTGGTACTAGATCAGATGCTGGTACTAGATCAGATGCTGGTACTAGATCAGATGCTGGTACTAGATCAGATGCTGGTACTAGATCAGATGCTGGTACTAGATCAGATGCTGGTACTAGATCAGATGCTGGTCCTAGAGTGTAAACATACTTCTCCGCCATGAAGACACACTCCACGATGTACAAGCTGCTTAACTGCCACCATTTAACATCTGTGGACCTGATTGGTGGTGTCAACTGCACGTACATCTTGAGGTTATCTTGAGATGATTTCGGGGCTTTAGTGTCCCCGCGGCCCGGTCCTCGACCAGGCCTCCACCCCCAGGAAGCAGCCCGTGACAGCTGACTAACACCCAGGTACCTATTTTCCTGCTAGGTAACAGGGGCATAAGGTGAAAGAAACTCTGCCCATTGTTTCTCGCCGGCGCCCGGGATCGAACCCAGGACCACAGGATCACAAGTCCAGCGTGCTGTCCGCTCGGCCGACCGGCTCCGGCGTACAATGTGCCTATTAAGCAAGACACTCTATGTAAAGTGTTTTGAGTGGATGTCTTGCAAGAAACAGTGAGAAGAGTGTGTGTGTGTGTATACACAAACACCACACCTGCGCTGCCACACACCTTCCCACACTTGTATATACAAAACTCTGCCACCACACAAGGACCTGGTCGGAGGTGTTAACTGTATATAAAGATATATAAACGTTAAGACACTATATTTTAATAAGACAAGTGTGTGAACAAAGCCTGAAGTTGATGGAGTTAACACTGCTATTCCAACATCAGTAGTGAGCAAACGAGGCACTACGGGCTCACCATAGCCCGTGCTACTTGGAACTTTTTGTTCCAAGTAGCGAATCAACAAGTAGTGAGCACCACTACGAGCTCAGGGTCCTACAAGCGGGCGAAATATTTGTACTAGAAGACTGAGCTCTGTACTTGTATCTTAATACAACGAGGGAAGGTTGCTGGTGTGTTAACTAGAGATGGGATCCAATGGCTTTTTGTGCCACTAAGCCTATTATATTTCAGGCGCGGTTATCACCATGAGCTTACGAGCTCACCTCAGTAAGTGAATTACTATACATTAATTTGAACCCATATTAACTAAGTTAATCAGTGTTTGACAAATATTTGATATATTGCAATTACTTAAAGACAAATTAAAGAATACATTTGCAATAAATATATTCATATCATTACATAATCTTGTCATTGTTCATAATAATTCATATGTGGGAAGATGAGAGATCAAAGGATAGGCTAAAATAATTAGTAACCAGGAGCCAGATTCACGCAAGCACTTACGAACGTGTACACATCTTTCCTCAATCTTTGACGGCTTTGTTTACATTTATTAAACAGTTTACAAGCCTGAAAACTTGCCAATCATCTATTGTTATTGTTATAAACAGCCTCCTGGTGCTTCGGAGCTCATTAACTGTTTAATAATTGGAAACAAAGCCGCCAAAGATTGAGAAAAGATGTACAGGTTCGTTAGTGCTTTCGTGAATCTGGCCAGATCAGTGCTGCTGCACTTATACGTATTATTTTTTTTACCAAGTGGTAGTGGTACATAGCCTTCCCTGTTTGGTACCTTCTTTTGATAATTACCTTACCTTACCAAGTGGTAAGTGGAGAATTTTTTCAGTCAACAGGTAAATGCAAGCGGCAACATTTCTCTTGGATCACTCTGAACAACGAGCCAACTAGGGAACACAAAATCCATTAACCCTAGAAGAAAGGGTAATCCATTAACAACAGTTTCCCAGTGGCCAGTTAGTTCCTTATTTTAGGGAGTCACAAGTTAAAAAGAATCCCAAAATTATTATTTGTATTATTATTTGTGATATTATTATTATTATTATTATTATTATTGAACAAATCCACAAGGGCCTTAATGAGGGTTCGAACCTATGCCTTGGGTGTTCCCAGACGCACTCTAGTCCATTGAGCCACGACACTGATAACAATTGCAGCCTGGAGTGTTAGTGACCCCACGAGGACCCCTGCTAGGCTTCCCCTGAAGCCTAGCAGGGGTTTCACTCCATCCCCCCCCCCCTGTACTGGGGTTCTGTCAACCATGCACTCAGGCTCTGTAAACCATGCACTGGGGCTCTGTCAACCATGCACTCAGGCTCTGTAAACCATGCACTCAGGCTCTGTCAACCATGCACTCAGGCTCTGTCAACCATGCACTCGGGCTCTGTCAACCATGCACTCGGGCTCTGTCAACCATGCACTCGGGCTCTGTCAACCATGCACTGGGGCTCTGTCAACCATGCACTGGGGCTCTGTCAACCATGCACTCAGGCTCTGTCAACCATGCACTCAGGCTCTGTGAACATTAGGTGTGGAGACAGGAGGTGTGGAGACAGCAAGTGTGGAGACAGCAGGTGTGGAGACAGCAAGTGTGGAGACAGCAGGTGTGGAGACAGGAGGTGTGGAGACAGCAAGTGTGGAGACAGCAGGTGTGGAGACAGCAGGTGTGTAGACAGCAGGTGTGGAGACAGGAGGTGTTGAGACAGCAAGTGTGGAGACAGCAGGTGTGGAGACAGCAGGTGTGTAGACAGCAGGTGTGGAGACAGCAGGTGTGTAGACAGCAAGTGTGGAGACAGCAGGTGTGGAGACAGCAGGTGTGTAGACAGCAGGTGTGGAGACAGGAGGTGTGGAGACAGCAAGTGTGGAGACAGCAGGTGTGGAGACAGCAAGTGAGGAGACACGAGGTGTGGCGACAGCAGGTGTGGAGAGGAACTAACTGTTTGAGGTTAGCGTTAAATATTTAGTGACTTGAGTTATTAAAGGAACAGTTAACCTTAAACAGTTGCTAATACCAGGGTGGGGGGGGGGGACACCACAGCTTACGTGGTGGGGGGGACACCACAGCTTACGTGGTGGTGGGGGACACCACAGTTTACGTGGTGGGGGGGACACCACAGCTTACGTGGTGGGGGGGGACACCACAGCTTACGTGGTGGGGGGGACACCACAGCTTACGTGGTGGGGGGGGGACACCACAGCTTACGTGGTGGGGGGGGACACCACAGCTTACGTGGTGGGGGGGGGACACCACAGCTTACGTGGTGGGGGGACACCACAGCTTACGTGGTGGGGGGGGGACACCACAGCTTACGTGGTGGGGGGGGACACCACAGCTTACGTGGTGGGGGGGGGACACCACAGCTTACGTGGTGGGGGGACACCACAGCTTACGTGGTGGGGGGGACACCACAGCTTACGTGGTGGGGATGGACACCACAGCTTACGTGGTGGGGGGGCACCACAGCTTACGTGGTGGGGGGGACACCACAGCTTACGTGGTGGGGGGGGCACCACAGCTTACGTGGTGGGGGGGCACCACAGCTTACGTGGTGGGGGGGCACCACAGCTTACGTGGTGGTGGGGGACACCACAGCTTACGTGGTGGGGGGGCACCACAGCTTACGTGGTGGGGGGGCACCACAGTGGCTGACAGACCACAGGAACATTACCTGTGTCTGACAGACCGCGGGGCCGAGCGGGGCCGAGCGGGGCCGAACGGGGCCGAGCGGGGCCCAGCGGGTCCGAGCGGGGCCCAGCGGGTCCGAGCGGGTCCGAGCGGGGCCCAGCGGGTCCGAGCGGGGCCCAGCGGGTCCGAGCGGGGCCCAGCGGGTCCGAGCGGGTCCGAGCGGGGCCCAGCGGGTCCGAGCGGGTCCCAGCGGGGCCGAGCGGGGCCCAGCGGGTCCGAGCGGGTCCGAGCGGGGCCGAGCTAGCGTGGAAAGCGTGATGACTGACGTACGTGATAGCCAAGTGTCATCCTCGCGTAAGTTTCTACAAGTTTCTGTCAACTTTACACTTGATCCACCCGCCTGTTGTTGTCTATAGCAGCACGTGGAGCCGCAGAGCAGCAGAGCCCAGCACGGCAGCAGAGCCCAGCATGGCAGCAGAGCCCAGCACGGCAGCAGAGCCCAGCACGGCAGCAGAGCCCAGCACGGCAGCAGAGCCCAGCACGGCAGCAGAGCCCAGCATGGCAGCAGAGCCCAGCACGGCAGCAGAGCCCAGCACGGCAGCAGAGCCCAGCACGGCAGCAGAGCCCAGCACGGCAGCAGAGCCCAGCACGGCAGCAGAGCCCAGCACGGCAGCAGAGCCCAGCATGGCAGCAGAGCCCAGCACGGCAGCAGAGCCCAGCACGGCAGCAGAGCCCAGCAGGGCAGCAGACTTTGCTAGTAGAGGTAAATAAGGAAAGTAAAGTTACTTTAGGCATGCTAACTTATGTAAGTTACATCAGGTATGGATGGGTAAGTTACCTTAAACAGAGAGGAAATAAATAAGTTGTGTTAGGATAGGTAAGGTACATCAGGTAGGTGAGAAACAGGTAAGTTAGACTAGGTAAGTTACATTAGGATAGGTTAACTCAGGCATGACAGGTTAGGTAACTATAGGCAAGTTAGGTTGGGTTACGTAAGTTCCATGAGCTATATTAGGGTAGGTTAGGTAGGGAGCCGGTCGGCCGAGCGGACAGCACGCTGGACTTGTGATCCTGTGATCCTGGGTTCGATCCCAGGCGCCGGCGAGAAACAATGGGCAGAGTTTCTTTCACCCTATGCCCCTGTTACCTAGCAGTAAAATAGGTACCTGGGTGTTAGTCAGCTGTCACGGGCTGCTTCCTGAGGGTGGAGGCCTGGTCGAGGACCGGGTCACAGGGACACTAAAGCCCCGAAATCATCTCAAGATAACCTCAAGATAAGGCTAGTAGAGGTAAGTCAGGTTAGGTTGGGTTAAGCACAATGTTCAGAGAACAGTTTTAAGATAAAGTGGCTAAGAAAATATATTTTAACAGAATAATTATTAACAGAAATGCAAGTTTGATATGAAAATTAAAGATCAATGTTTTGTGACATATTAAATGTTATTAAGGAGTTTTGACTGTAAATGTCTTAGCGAAAGCTGTTTCTATATATAAGTCAGTTATTTTTATTCATTTTTACTTACAGGGTAAGTTTATAAGTACATAAAATTGCACATGTTTAGTTTGATGAAAGACTTGAAATTTGCTTGAGGCTACATAATGGTATGTCGTAATAAACTTTATTAATACATAGAATGTTACTCTTGACTATTTATTAAATGAAGAATAATGTTTCTTACTTTGAGAATGTTAGTTGAT